AATGGCGGCACCGTTTTACATTTCTACCAACAGTGCACAAGGCCTCCGATTTCTCCACATCCTCACCAACAGTTGTTCTTTTCTGGTTTTTGATAGTGGGCATCCTAATGGTGTGAATTTCTATAGTTTTAGTCTATAAAACATAAGAAATTAATGTTCATCAGTATGTCATAGCTGGACTGACATTGACACTATGCCTTGCCTTGTGTGTCCTTACCTCCCTGGACAGGCATGGCTTCCTGGGAGAAGGATCTTTGCCTTGTGTGTCCTTACCTCCCTGGACAGCATGGCTTCCTGGGAGGAGGATCCTTGCACTGGTGGGGAAAGGGATGCTGTGGTGATAGAGAGGTCCTCCCTCTTTGATTCACTTCTAATTTATTACAAAGTGTTTCAGCCCAGTTAATGGGTTTCAGGGTTATATTATCCTGTTTTAATTAAACTAATCCTCAAATGATGACCAAGGAATCCTCACAAAAATGACCTAAGAAAAAAAAGAAGACGACTATAATACAAATCTGGGCAAACCATGAGGAAACAACTGAGTGGCACTTCTCCTACCACTCACAGGAGCTCTTTGTCAGCCCATTTCAATAGAAAAACAATGACAAGCTGAGAAGTTGGCCAAAAAGGAAGGAACTAAGAAAACCACTTAAAATATAGATTTACATCCATTTATTAACCAGAGGCTCACCTGAAGTGTGTATTGTGCCTTGAGACATCAAGACATGAGCTAATGGCAATGTGCGTGCATGCACACATGCTTATGCACACTAGAATATTTTTATTAACAGGAACAAGTGATCAAAAATATTTGGAGACAACCACTCCAGATAGAGGATTGGGAATTATGGCAATTATTTCTGTTTTTTCTTCCTGGATTTTTCAGGGAAGACCAACCCAGCAGTTTGGAAGAATGACCTAAAGGATACTGGGAGTGGGTTGGGGTAAGCATCACATCTGGAAGATGGAACTTGGCATCGTGAAGGAAGAGAGTGATCTTTAACTGGCATTCCAGGATTTCCCCACTTGTGAGGGCTGTGATCAGGCCTAAATGGTGGACCCCCACTGTTGTGGTAGCATCTCCTGTGTGACTGCTTCCTGGAACTCCTCTGTTCTTTAATATGTACCCTCAGCCAGGCGTGGTGGCTCATGCCCGTAATTCCAGCAATTTGGGAAACCAAGGCAGGAGGATCACTTGAAGCCAGCAGTTCGAGACCAGCCTGGGCAACAAAGCGAGACCCCATCACTAAAAAAAAAAAAAGAATTAGCTGGGCATGGTGATGCACACCTGTAGTCCCAGCTACTTGGGAGGCTGAGCTGGGAGGATCACCTGAGCCCAGGAATTTGAGGTTGCAGTGAGCTATGATCACGCTGTTGCACTGCAGCCCAGGCAACAGAGCCAGACCTTGTCTCCAAAATCAATAATGAATAAATAAACGTACCCTCCCTAGACCTCAGTCTCCTCCTCTGTAGAATGGGGACATCATCAGCTCTTCATCAAGAGGGTCGTGGTGAGGTGCTTGGCATGGTACCTGCACACAGTAAGGGTCCTCCAGAGATAGCTAGTAGGATTACTGGACTATTTTGAAACCCTTCTTTTTAAAACTAGAGATATGGTACATACACATTCATTATAAAAATCTTATGAAGAGTATAGAAAGAAACAGGAATCAGCCCCAGTTCTTCCCTCAGGGGATGACCATTTCAGTCTTGCTCCATTTCTGTCCACGGCTGCAGGCAACAGTCTGAGACCCTGATTTTTAAACTTTCTCCTTCTCCAGGGCTTTCCCATGTCAATCAATGCTTTATACGTTGTTTTTAATGGCTGCCTGCTGCTCCCCTGACGGCTGTCCTGCACCTTCTCCCCTGCCTGCTCTGCCTGGCCTCCTCTCATCTCTCGTGCTCCTCTTCCTGTGCCTGGCGAGCCTCTGGCTCTGGCAGTAACTTCTGTCTTCACATGCAGCTTCCAGCCTGGATGGTGTTGGAGGCCAGGCCTGGGTCTCAGCTACATGGGATGGCTCCCAAATCCTAGGTCCCTTCCAACCCATCCGGTGAAGAGGAACACATTATCTCTCCCTCTTCCATTGTCACCCTGACCTCCCTTCCGCAACACATACCCCAAAACCCTCAGCCAGAGCTTAGCACAGAGACTGCAAGCAGTAGGTGCCTCATCCATGTCCCATGACTGATGGGTAGAAGATAACATGAAAAGAAAGAAGGAAGTGAAAAAGGAAAGGTGGAAGGGCAGGGAAAGAAAGGGGAAGAAAGGATGAAAAGAAGGAAAAAAAGGAAGGAAGGTCTTCGCACATACTTCCAAGCCTCACTGTTCTTGCTCTGTGGATAGTTATTTTGCTGGGGCCGGGCACGGTGGCTCACGCCTATGATCCTAGCACTTTGGGAGGCCAAGGCTGGAGGATCACTTGAGGTCAAGAGTTCGAGACCAGCCTAGCTAACATGGTGAAACCCTATCTCTACTAAAAATACAAAAATTAGCTGGGCGTGGTGGCGGGCACCTGTAATCCCAGCTACTCAGGAGGCTGAGGCATGAGAATCACTTGAACCTGGGAGGCAGAGGCTGCAGTGAGCCGAGATGGTGCCACTGTACTTCAGCCTGGGTGATAGAGCAAGACTTTATCTCAACAACAACAACAAAAAAAGTTATTTTGCTGGAAGACTCCTACTGATCCTCCAAGCCCTGGTCACAGAGCCTTCCCCTCATGCAGCCCTTCACCTGCACGGCCTCGCTTACCTTTGTCAAAGTCCTGTTATTACTGTGACGCACAGATAGGGAAACTGAGGCTCAGAAAATTACAATGAGTTGCCCAAACTCCCACAGCAGTGAGGGGAAGCGGGGGGGCTTGGTCTCCTTCTCTCTCACCCTGAGTCCTCACCCTCAGCTTCTGTAGCCCAGCCCTGCCCGCTTCTAGTTCACACATCTCCAAGATCACGAGCCTCCATCATGGATCCATGAGCTGAGGCTGCATTTCAGGCTCTCAGGGAGTTTTCTGGAACAATTCAATAAATGAATGCATTCATGCATTCTGGTGCTAGCCCCGAACTCATATTTGATAAGAGAAGACTCAGATCTTGGAAAAACAGCAACTGTTTTTCAACACCAGCTGGTGCCACAGCCTCAGTGAATTTGAACAAATTCAGAGAGCAACTGGTGTCTTTTTCCTTCCTTCAGTTCCCTTTGTTAAACTGCCATGTGTTCCTGGCAACTGGATTTCGGGAGACGTGGAATTCAGAAGAAGTGAGAGAAAGAGGCCAAAGGCAGGGCTCTCTGCTTCCTCGGGACCTTTGTAGGTGGGGAGGTTCACGCCTTTTCGAGGGACTGTGGGCTGGGCACACAGCGCCCTGCTGAGCCGGCTCATTCCTGCAGCTTCAGCAATGCCCTGGATTTCACTCTGCGGACAGTGGTTACACCGGCTCTGTCCTCCTTGCGTTAGCACAAAGCACTCTGAAATTCTAGCCAAGAAAGTGTGCCAGTTCAGAAAACACAAACCCCTGGCTTTCCTAGGTCTGCATGGAACCGACATGGCCTTTGCTAAAACAACCAGCCCTTCTTGGCAGAAAGGGTGGCTGCAGCCAGCAGCCCGCAGTCTGCTTGTGCAGTGTTCCCTCTGCTTCCGACCGGCCCAAGGCTCATCAGATTCTAATAAATATCACTTTCTTTTCTTTTCTTTCTTGTTTTTTTTTTTTTTTTTGAGATGGAGCCTTGCCCTGTTGCCCAGGCTGGAGGGCAACAGCGGGATCTTGGCTCACTGCAACCTCTGCCTCTTGGGTTCAAGCGATCCTCTGGCAGAGCTGAAGGGGACCCCAGCGTGATGGCTTCCTGCCCCCACTCCTTGAACTGTGCCCCCTCCATGCCCAGCCTCACAGGTACCCTGACAGGCGGCCCAAGATGGATGGCGGCACAAGACCTAGAATGCAGGGTTGCCTGGAGCCCCTTTGGTCTGTCTGGGCCTGGGGAGGTCCACTTGGAATTGCAGCCCCTTCCTCCTGGGCCCCACAGCCCACTGCCCTGTGCTTACCCGGCCCTCCTTCTTGCCTCCCACCATCACAGTCAGGCCAGTGATCTCCCACCCAGGGCCCCAGTGGGGATGCTGGTCTTGGCATTGATTTTTGGAAGAGAACAAAGCTTGAGCTGGGGAGGGAACTGAGCAGGTGTCTGGAGAGTGGAGCAGAGCCCCGCAGGGAGGCTGAGCTGATCAAGGACAGACCCAAGATGCCAGAAATTGGCCACCCCACTCCTGGATGAGGCAGCCCAGGCAGAGCCTCATCTGGGCATGTCGTCCCCACCTGCCTCTGCAGCATCCGGGTAGACCTGACTCCTCTGAGGCCTAGGCAGGGGCCTGGAACTTCCTATCTGGGATCTTGGGACAGGCCAGACAGCCTGGCTTGGCCATTATCTGTCTGAGAAAGCATTCTCCCAAGTGCCCTGAAATGCCAGGAAAGTAGTCAGGAAAAACAGAGGGGTAAATTGAAAACCATCTTGATGATAAGCATAGCTCCTGGTGCTGGGAAAGGGCTGGGCCTTTTGGAGATGGTGTTACGTTCCTGATGTGACTTTTACCAAGGGTGAAACGCACAGCTCTAAGCTCTTGCACTGCTTCTTTTCTTCCTTGCCAACTGGGACTCCACTGCCCCTCACCTCCTCCCCATTCCGTCTCTCTCTCTGAATCTCTCTCTTTCTCTCTCTCTCTCTGCGTCTCACCTAACCTATAGGTTTTGCTGCCCAGACATGGCAGTGTCCTCCCAGAAGCCTGTCTGTGAGCTCTAGACACACAACAGCCAAGAGGCCAGCCTCCTAGGGCACTTCAAACTCGGCAGGACCCCAGTCACCGGCATGATATCCCCAGCCCAGCTCTGCCTTCTCCTCTATCCCCTTAGGAAGCAGCTCTGGCTCATTAGCTTCTTGAGTACAACATTTCCATGGCTCCCAATTGCCCTAAGAATAAAGTTCACGCTGAGCTAAGCTCTCAGTCTGGCTTCCACAGACTGCCCCAGTGTCTGTTCCCGCCTTCCCTGGTGTGCAGTACTCCCTGGCACTGGAGGTGGGTGGAGGTGGTGGGTTCCTTGTCAAAATATCTGCGGATGCTGTTAGAGTCCAGGGGTGCAAAATGTCCTGTCCTGAGGCATGCAGGACACACGGAAGAAGCCTTCAGCCTTTCCAGGAGCACCAGGTCACGCCAAGTTCCCCAAAGGCCTCAGGTTCTTTTTTTTTTTTGAGATGGAGTCTCGCTCTGTCGCCAGGCTAGAGTGCAGTGGCATGGTATCAGTTCACTGCAACCTCTGCCTCCTGGGTTCAAGCGATTCTCCTGCCTCACCCTCCTGAGTAGCTGGGACTACAGGCACGCGCCACCAAGCCCAGCTAATTTTTGCATTTTTAGTAGAGATGGGGTTTCACCATGTTGGCCAGGATGGTCTCGATCTCTTGACCTCATGATCCGCCTGCCTTGGCCTCCCAAAGTGCTGGGATTACAGGCGTGAGCCACTGTTCCCGGCCAGGCCTCAGGTTCTGATGATGTCTTCTGCCCTTGCAGCTTCCACCGCCTGGCATACTCTTCCCCAGCGTCTCCATCTGGCTCACTCCCGCCTGTCCACAGACCTCACCTGCATCCCCTTGGCAAACACGGCTGTCAGACGTGCCTCTCTTGTGTTCCCTCCTAGATAGGTGCTGCTGTGTGCATTTGCCTCTTGGGTGGGAACTGTGACTCTCTTCTTGGCCCCTTGCTACTTTGTGAGCTCCTTGAGGGCAAAGTCCAGGCCACGGGAGACCCCGGAAGTAGACCCCAAGGATTGGGTTTTCAGGGACTCCTGGTGCCCCCCCACCATTAACTGAGGCAAGTCTGCCTGCCGCTTTACGCAGGAGCTGTCCAAGCTGGGCCTGGGGAGTGACACAGCGGTGCAGCTGCGGACTCTGGAGCTGCCTGTAGACTACAGGGAGGCTAAGCGGAGGGTCACCGGAATCTGGGAAGATCATCAGCCACAAGTAAATGATGGCGGGAGGCAGCGGGGCATGGGGCTGGCGATGTGGTGGAGCTGGAGCCTGAGACCCCCGGGCCCTGGTTCTAGGGTTGATGGTTGAGGGGCACCCCGTCCCCAGGCCCCACCAGTCCTGCAAGGTCCCAGCTGATTGTGTAAGGTTCTGGGTCTGTTTGTAAAAGTTTAAGCCAAAATATGGAGTAGGTCTTAATAGAAAATCTGGAGAGAAAGGAGGAGGAAAAGAAATGGAAGTATTATTCCCAGCCAGGACTCAAAAATAGTTTCCACCTAAGGGAGAGGCCCTTGGGTTGGGCCCCATCCATACCCATGAGGGGCAGGTAGGTTTGAAGGTGGGAATGAGGCAAGGACCTCTGTGCCCAGGGAACGACTGGGAGGGTGGCCAACCTGGGGGAGGCCCATCTTCATAGCACCCAGCCCATTTTATCTGGACATAATTACTGTATAAAAAACAGGTACACCCTCACCCCCTCAAAAAAATTCCCCAAATAAGGACCAGATGATGAGGTTAATAAAACATACACTATCAAGGCTGGGCACGGTGGCTTTTGCCTGTAATCCCAGCACTTTGGGAGGCTGAGGCAGGTGGATCACAAGGTCAGGAGATCGAGACCATCCTGGCTAACATGGTGAAACCCCGTCTCTACTAAAAATACAAAAAAAAATAGCTGGGCATGGTGGTGGGTGCCTGTAGTCCCAGCTACTCGGGAGGCTGAGGCAGGAGAATGGCTTGAACCCGGGAGGTGGAGCTTGCAGTGACCCAAGATAGTGCCACTGCACTCCAGCCTGGGCGACAGAGCAAGACTCTGTCTCAAACAAACAAACAAACAAACAAACAAACAAACCATACACTATTAAGCCATTCAGACAGTGACCCAGATGTTTTGATAAAATACTTAGGCAGCTATTTTTCAAAAAGGAAAAATAATCAGCTTTAATAAATTCTAAGATTTCACTGGACTGCTACTAACTTCCTTTATTAAGTTTCATTTTTAAAAAAGATGCAGGAGGTGGGCGCGGTGACTCACGCCTGTAATCCCAGCACTTTGGGAGGCTGAGGCGGGTGGATCACTTGAGGTCAGGAGTTTGAGACCAGCCTGGCCAACACAGTGAAACCCCGTCTCTACTACAAATACAAAAATTAGCTGGGCGTGGTGGTGTACCCGTAGTCCCAGCTACTCGGGAGGCAGAGGCAGGAGAATCACTTGAACCCAGGAGGCGGAGGTTGCAATGAGCTGAGATGGTGCCACTGCACTCCACCCTGGGTTATAGAGCCAGACTCTGTCTCACAAAAATAAAAATAAATAAATACATAAATAAAATAAAATAAAATGATGCAGGTTTCCACCAAAACACGAAGCCTCTGCTGTGGTAGCCTCACCACTTAGCCAGCTTGCCTCTCCTCCCTCCAACCCTCCCCCTACAAAAAGAGAATACATTGCCCTGTAAGAATAATTTGAAGTAAAAAGTATTTAATTGTAAATGCAGCACGAGTTTTTATTCAGCCAAAAGAATCCAGCTATTTTTCTTTCCAGCCATATGAATTAGGAGACACTGGTGGGGGATCCTGGGGCTTGCCAGTGGATTTGGGGTTTGAGATGTTTGGCATGGAGCCGGGCTCGCTAAAGGAGTGGCGCTCCTGCACATTTGGTGAGCAGGGTGGGCCTCATTTTCCTGGGGTCTCTCTGCTGTTGCCTGTTCACACAGCTCGTCGTGCATGTGGGCATGGACACCTCTGCCAAAGCGATCATTCTGGAACAGTCTGGCAAGAACCAAGGCTACCGGGATGCTGACATCTGGGGCTTCCGGCCGGAGGGCGGCGTGTGCCTACCTGGCGGCCCAGACACGCTGGAGTCGGGGGTCTGCATGAAGGCAGTCTGCAAGCATGTAGCTGTGGAGGATGTCGAGGTGCTATTTTCTCGAGATGCAGGCAGGTATGCTCTGTGGGTGTTTGTTAGGCCTCTGAGCAGGTAGGAGAGAAGCAATGGCCTTCGGCATCCCCCCGGCCTCCAAGAAGCCATCCTGTACCGTCCAACCGGCCACTTGGCCATGCGGCGCTGCCCCCAGATCGCCCCTCTTTGCTGCTTGCAGGTCAGCACAGTTGCTAACACCTTGCCTGGGGGCTCGTTTGTGAGACCTCCCTGTGGAAACATGGTCTTTGGTGTGTGGATCTAGGAGAAGAGATGGGAAGGCAGACTTCAAGAGCCATTAACATTTCGTGTTTTCTAATTTTGATTTTCGGGGTGACCGAAGTTGTGAGTTAACTATGTTGATGTAGCCCCAGATGAAGATTGATTTACCTTTGTTTCTCCAAGCTCTGATCCCCAGTAGATGCTTTCCCCTTTCCCCAAGGAATGAATGAGTAAGTGACTCAGGAAGACATGAATGACAGGGATTCACTGGGATGCAGGTGTTATGGACTGGTTTGTGGAATATCTGACCCCTTTCTGTCTTGGTCACTTGCTGGTCATGAGATCATGAGGCCAAGAGCCAGCTCTCCCCGCCTCATCCCCGGCACCGTGTTCTTTCTGAGGTGAAACAACACAACTTAAGTCTCCCTTGGGTGTCAGTCCTCCCTCCTCAGGCTTTGTGGGTGTTGCATTGCCCCTTCTGCTTATGTTTCACTGAGGTTAGAGGCTGGTCCAAGAATGAATGTGGCATTTCCTGTGGTTGCAGATACGTCTGTGATTATACCTATTACCTCTCTCTGCATCATGGAAAGGGCTGCGCGGCACTCATTCATGTCCCTCCACTATCGCGTGGGCTCCCGGCCAGCCTGCTGGGAAGAGCCTTGCAAGTCATCATCCAGGAAATGCTGGAAGAGTGTGGGAAAGCCCGAGTGCAAAGCCCGGTTCGAAGAAAACTCAACCATGGTGCTACCAGCCAAAGGGAACCGACCGGGGCATTGCTCCTTTAGAGAAGATTAAACGTTTCAATCCTGTGTGTAGCATTCAGCTGTGCATTGAGAAACTTTTTCAAAAATTGCTTGTAAGACAAAGAGGGGGAAAAACTTTTTGTGATTTTGTTGGGCTATTTTATTGTCGGGAGAAAGAACACTCTGAAAGTTGGACATTTCACGGGATGAACTAGCTTCAGTTATGGTTTTCATGACAATAAAATGAAATCCGAGTCATCTGTTTTCTTCTAAAAATCTACACAGTGGGTCTATGTGATCCTGCCCAGACTACGGGGACCACAGACCTTTTTGGAGAGCCTTACAGAAGCATAGAGACAGCCACTGCTCCAGGGGCCCCATTCCTTGCCTTTGAGCTTGTGTGTCCAGGTCCTGGGTAGCCCTGAAGCCACTGAGGCTCTACTGTATGATTTCTCTGTCTCTGTGTTTGCCCCTTTTATTACTTACTCATTTTAATAATTTTCGAGCTTACAGTTCAGTAGTATACAGTACCTTTACTTGTTGCGCAACCATTACCACCATCCCTCTCCAGAACTTTCTCCTCATCCCAAACCAAAACTCTGTACCTGTTAACTCCCTGTTTCTTCTTCCTCCCAGCCCCTGGCACCCACCATTCTACCCTCCATCCCTATGAATCTGACTCTAGGTAGCTCACATGAGGGAGTCATGCAGCACTGGTCCTTTTGCATCTGGCTTATTTCAGCCTCATGTCCTCCAGGTTCATCCATGTTGTAGCATGGGACAGGATTTCATTCTGTTGAAGGCTGAATAATATTCCAGTGTAGGTATCAACCACATTTTGATTATCCATTCATCTTTAGATGGATGCTTATGTTACTTGCCCCTTTTGGTCGTTGCAAATCATGCTGCTACAAACACTGGTGTGCAAATACGTGTCCGAGTCCTTGCTTTCAGGTAAACATCCAGAGGTGAATTCCTGGATTCAATGCTAATTCTGTGTTTAATTTTTTAAGGAACTGCCATTTTGTTTCGCACAGCAGCTGCACCATTTTATAGTCATACTGGTAGTGTTTGGTCCTAAAGCACAGGTGAATAGCTGGGCTTAGCTTCTCTCCATGGTGTCATCCCTTTTTAAAAACAGAATCTCCTTTCTGTTTCATCTTTTGTTTTGCTTTTATGACACAGTGCTGGGTCTTGTGCCAGGCTTCTCCCAGCAAGAGTCTACCTGTTCAGTGTTTTCTAGGGGCAGATTTCCGTTGGGAGTCCTGTTGGTAACATTGCTTTTTTTTTTTTGGAGGAAGTGAGCGAAGATAGCTAAGCTCTGGGAAATTTCTTGTTGGTGTGATTACAGCTACCATTTTTCACTTGACTAAATTTAAAAAATTCATCATTTAGTATTCAGATTCATTCACTATTAAGAAAAGCATTTGCAGCTTCCTAACAAAGGAACCAGGCCAGGCACGGTGGCTCACACCTATAATCTCAGCACTTTGGGAGGCTGAGGTGGGTGGATCACTTGAGGTCAGGAGTTCGAGACCAGCCTGACCAACATGTGAAACCCAGTCTCTACTAAAATTACAAAAAAAATTAGCCAGGTGTGGTGGTGGGTGTCTATAATCCCAGCTACTCGGGAGGCCGAGGCAGGGGAATCACTTGAACCCAGGAGGCAGAGGTTGCAGTGAGCCGAGATTGCACTATTGCACTCCAGCCTGGTCAACAAGAGCAAAACTCCGTCTCAAACACACACAAACCCACCCACAAACAAACAAGAAAAACCCAAGAAGACAAAAAACCAAAGGAACCAGTCAAGGCCGCCAGCACACTTTTTGCATTTGGAGTGGCCTTTAGAGGACTCCCTTTGCAAGTATACCTGGATCATTTGCTAGAAAACCGATCAAAGCCCGCATGTTGGGGGATGGGGAGGTGGTGCTGGGCGGTGTGTACAGGTCTGGCTGCATGGTTGGTAATGTGGAGATCTGCTTGTGCTATGGGCAATTCTGTCCCAGGACACTGTCAAGCAAGGGGCCCCCAGGACTGGGCTCCAGTGTTATATTTCAGACTCCTTGGCAGCATGCCGTAACATTTAAAAAATTTTTAGATATCCAATTGGAAGGCCCAGAGCTCCCTCTTCATGAACTTCCCCATCATTTCCCCCACTGTGGCCTCTGAAGTTCTCCAGGAAGAACCCCAGAAGGCTCATTCACATCCTGGGCTGTGTACTTTGCCCAGCATCCCTTGTCTGTATGCACAGAGCCTGCTTAGTTCTGGCAGTGCTGAAGTCAGTTTAAGAACCACAGCAGAAAAGGCTGAGTCCTGGGTTGGACATTTAATAGTTGGCGGGGAGGTGGGAAGGGGGGTCTTGAGCATGCTTGTATGTTTGCTCATCTGTAAGAGTAATTAAAATCCTTTCTTTGCAGGGTGATTGTGAACATCTGGTGAGAGAATGAATGTGAAGGTCTTTTAGTAACATTAGAACCCTACAAAAATCACCCACCTGGACTTGGGAAGGGTAAATGAAGAAATAGCTCTTGAGGGCTTGCAGTCTTAAGAAATGGCACAGAGGGAAAAGTTCTAATGCTTCTAAAGACCCAGCACCTTCATCCTTAGACATTGCTGCTCCTTCTGGCTGGGCAGGCCAAGTGCAGACCGCACTGTGGCAACCTGCGAGTGCAGCACCAACCTGCCCAGGAAAGAGGGAGGCCCTGTTAGGCTTTCCAGCCTCAGAATTGAGACTTCCTTGTCATCAGTCACCTAATGAAGATTAGGTGCCAGGCACTCGGTGACAACAGTGAGCAGTAACCCTGAAGCAATGCAAAGTTTGAGAGTACCCTTTTTTTTTGAGATGGCGTCTCACTCTGTCACCCAGGCGGGAGTAGAGTGGCACGATCTTGGCTCACTGCAACCTCCGCCTCCCGAGTTCAAGTGATTCTCCTGTCTTAGCCTCCCAAGTAGCTGGGATTACAGGCAGCTGCCACCATGTCCCGCTAATTTTTTGTATTTTTAGTAGAGATGGGGTTTCACCATGTTAGCCAGGCTGGTCTCGAACTCCTGAGCTCATGTGGTCCACCCGTCTCAGCCTCCCAAAAGTGCTAGGATTACACGCGTGAGCCACCGAGCCCAGCAGAGTCCCCTTTCAGAAAGGCCTTTTGCTTTTAGGTGCAAACACTTCTGAGGCTCAACAGGTCTGAGGTAACCATGGTCTTTGGTTTACTTCTCCTACCTACACATAGCTAGGCAGCTCTTCTTCTACTGGCCTGATTTTGCTATTTTCCCATGATAAAGTTGAGGGAAATGACCAGCTTCTCCTGATGTGTCTATGAATCCTTAGTCTGATTCTAGAACATTCGCACCTTGCCATACATAGCCATTTCCCCTGACAAAAATATTTACATTGTAGCGTCCCTGGGGCAGACAGAGATCGCTAAGCAGTAGCTAGAAAGTAACTAAGACTTTGGAGCTCCTCCAGTCAGCCGCATCCTGTGTGTGGCCCACTGGGTTCTCACCAGCATCCCCCGAGGCGGGCATGTCAGCCGTGAAAGACCAAAAAGCACACGGGAAATGTGAAGAACTGAAGTCCTCTGCCCTGGAGTCATGCAGATCAGACTTGCCTTGGCCTGACTGTTGTTAGTGGAAGGTATAGGAAAAAAGTCCACAAATCAGTCAGAACTGCAGTACAGATTTCTGTAATTTATGCACTGAAATTTCTTTCCAGATGATTTAATGGAGTGAGAAATAGAATAGCTTCCCTGTCGTCTTCACTAGCAATTTGCATGCTGAGAAAGCTCAGCTGTCAGAGAAGAGGCAATGCTTTTGTGGAGAATGCTTCCAGGCAACATGCGTGAACACACGTGCCCCAAGTAGCTCAGCTTCCTGCCACCGAAGTGTGGTGATGCTTCCAGAAGGGACAAAACAAAACCAGAGGTAGAAATGCATACAGAATTCTTTTATTTAACTTAAACCATGTAGTACTTTACTAGAAAAAAGCAGAGTAAGAGAAACTAACGTTGCCTTAGCTTCAGCCATTCAAAATAGACAGTTTCTTTTTTTCCATAATGTAAAGAATCCAGAGTATATCGGAATAACAGGAATAAATTCTTACAACAGAATATACAAAAACATTTTGAAATTTTTTTCATCTACTGATTTTTTATATAAACAGGTTTTTTTTAGGAATAATTTATACACAGAAAGTCATTTTATGTAACAAATTGGCCATGTTATTACCTTTTTTTTTTTTTACTTTTTTAAAAAAACTTTTTTTAAACAAGAAAACTCAGAAAATGCATTATTTGCGGTGCATCCATTCCATCCCGCCTTCTGGTTTGATTTTTTTTATCCCAGATAAAGGGATACCCAGAGGTAGACAAACTCTGGCAAACCTCTCACCTCAACCTCACTGGCTTAGAAAGCAGACAGGTGTTTTCGCCAGGCGTCTCTTCCACCTGTGGATGTGTGTGTGCAACGCCAAACATCCAAATGAAAAGTTGAAAACAACCCAAATAGTTTCCGGGTCTTTCTCCCATGTAGTGCAAAAACCCAGGTGTTTCCCACAACAGAGATACTGTGGAGTTGGGGAGACATGGCCAACAATCCACTGGAGTTAGAGGAAGTGGAGTCAAACTTTAGAACAAATTTTTGTGTATGCTGTAGTTTTTATTAAAAAGAATTGTTTTCTGTATTGGAGATATGTATCTTCAGGATTCTGCCTTCAAAAAGCATTAATCATGATACGAGGCATGTAAGCAAATGGCCTGTGTGCCCCAGAGCTGTCATCTTTTATGTGATCACTGTGTATGCTGTAATCATCATGAAAACCATTGGCTGTGCAGTCAAGTCTTCCCATGTCCATGGCACTGCGTGACAATGACGGCAGCCAGACCAACCAAACCAGATGCTGAACGGTGCCATGCACTGCTGGGCTCCAACACCTCTGCTGTTTCCATGGCCAATGAGGTTCTTTCCATCTGTTAAAGTAGCTACACTCCAAAGGGAAATGACCAGTAAAAAATGATCCCCTTCCCAACCAGAGGGTTCTGGAAGACCAAGATACTG